AAAAAAAAAAAAAAAAAAAAAAAAAGGGTGGCTGCAGTTGGGGAACTGTGGTGATCATTACTGAGGTCCCCTGATAAGTCTATTGTTATTGAAGGACCACTCTAGGAGAATTTATGACTCCAATGCTCTAATTGGCTTTCTCCTCAAACTTATTTCTTATGGATTACCCAATCAATTTTAATGATTTTACTTCTACACATTTTTAAGTATTGACTTTTACACAAGTAAAAACCACCGTTACGCTGATAAAAAAGTGTTTATAGTGCAAAGATATGCATTAAAAATGTATTAGATTTCATTTATTCAGCAAACATTTTTAGCACCATTCCAGAGAATTAATAACAGAGATGAAAAAGCGCCTAAAGTGTCTAGCTTCAAGATGCTGATGGCCCAGTCTGTGTTTAATTATAATATAAAGTGGTAAGTATTGGAATGAAGGGTTATACAGGCTATAATGGACATAGCTAGGAAGCTGGATTTGGAGAGTTAAAGATAAACATCTTATTTTAAACCCCCTGCTGACATGACAAAGGGCAGCTACTTTATTATACATTAGCAAAAAAAATTTACACATGGTACAACATTGTTCTTTATTATCATAAGGACTGCATACTTTGCCCTCTCACACTTAGCATCCTAGAGAAAGGATATAGAACGTTTTACTAATATTAATAGCCAATTTTGTACTATTTTTTAAAGATGATCATTTTTGGACTTTAATATAAAACACATACTTTATAAATTAGTTGCATAGTAAACTCCGCATATCTGAAAACTCCAAGTCATTTCAGCTGAACAAGTGTTTCTGGAGCTTCTGCTTTGTGCCAGTCACTGTGCTAGACGTTTGAGATCAAAGATAAATAAGATCTGGTCTCTGCCTTCAAAGAACTTACTATCTAATGTAGGAAACATGCACATAAATCTTCTGCTTAAACTTAGCAGTTTGTTGATATATGTACAAATGCATGGATGTTTATACATATGCAGTTCATGTATCACAACTTTCTCTTGCAAGTTCTGATATTCAGGTACGTTTCTTGAAATTCCTGGGGTAGGTAGATAGCAGAGATAAATAGAACCTGGCCTTGTCTGACATCCCTCAGGAAACAAGGGTTTATCAGGCCCTTGTATGCCATCATCCACCATACCAGTGAGGTTTTGATCTTTGCAATGGCAAAACTATTTTTCTCTTTTGTACAGGGACTTGCTTCTGTCAGCTTTCATGTCTTAATTCAGTAATCCTGAAGCTGCCTGGCAAGCTACCGTCTCGTACAGATGATTCAGGGCAATGGCTAGGTGTTACTAATTGATTCAAGGCAATGGTTAGGTGTTACTAATAGATTTTTGGATACTTACATGCTCCTGCCAGTTTTGCTTAGAGATTGAAAGGTCAAGCTCTGTGTTTATAGAGACTTCAGTGGCTAAATAGGAAGAAACAGAATGTCAGTTTGTCTTACACACCTTTTTCCTTATTTTCTTGATGGTGAAATGAGAATTTAACAACATCTGTCACAATATTATCAGTGAGATAATGGGCAATAAAAATGAAAGTTAGAAAGTATCTTTATTACAACAGCCTTATAATGTAGTTTGAAACTTTCATTCCCCAAGACCAGTACTTCTTAATCTGGAACCCATGTATGGCCTTTGGGGAGCTGTGAAATTGCCTGCCAAATCATGTGTGCACGTTTGTCTTGTGGAGAGAACCGGATCTTTAATCGGAGTGTCTGATTATGTGAGCTCTTTTTACTTCATAAGTTGAACCACTGAGTCAAACAAGTTAAATGACCTCCCATGTTGTTTCTAGGGTTGGGGAGCAGAATACCACCGCCAGGATGTTACTAGCACCCCCTGCTGGATTGAGATCCATCTGCATGGCCCCCTCCAGTGGCTGGATAAAGTTCTTACCCAGATGGGTTCACCTCATAATCCTATTTCATCTGTGTCTTAAAACGGCCTCGGGCTTCTGCCTTTTGAAAACTATTGAGCCTTGCATGTACTTGAAGGATGGATGAGTCAGACACCATCTGAACTGACAAAGGAGCCTTGATAATACTTGACCTCTGTGACCAACTGTTGGATTCAGAAATTTAAAAACCTGGGTAACATACTGTTGATATAAGAACCTGTTTAGTTTACATTGTAACATTCTATTGTAAAATCAACTAAAATGCATACTTTTAGCAGGACTTCGTGTATAGTTAAAGGAGAGATGGCCAAGCCAGGGACAAATCATCTATTGGAAAAACGGTCCTAAGAGATTCTGTTGTGTTTGGCACTTTAAGGTCATCGTTTGGCAGAAGCTGAGCATTAATAGTCTTTCTGACGTGTGTTTTTATCAGGTTTAGAGCCCATGTGGAGTCTTCTCACGTGGGTTTTCATAATATTTTAAAACTATTTGTTTAGTAATGGTTTTTGTTTGTTCGTTTTTTTAAGTAAAGGTTAATCTTGGTGATATACATAGTAATCTTTCTAAAATTGTATGCTGACCATAATGCTGTCAGAATAATGTTAGGCATATGCTCTTTGCTAAATATATATGTACAGAATATTTGGAAGTTAAGAATTGATTAGACTAGTGGATTTAGGAGTATTGGAGGGGGCGGGGGGAGAGGGAAATGACAAATGTAGAATATACTGTAAAAATTCAGTTTGTTGCTTTAAAGAAACAAACTGATGTCTGAATTTTGCTGTGTTTCAATTTTTTAGAGATTTTATCCTACCTTTTTTTTTTTCTCATCTTCTGTCCCATCCTCTCCAAAAAACAGTTATGCAGCTGGTTAATTCATATAACTGTGAGAGCAAATGAATAATTCCTACTATTCTGAAATTGACTGCCTGTATGTTTCAGTACCAATTGTATGGAGTGCTTGAATTTAATAAGGAGTTTTTATGGAGTTTACAATACAGAAATAGGCTTTAATTTTCAAGTGAATTGTTTGCCAAACCTAGTAACTCTGTTAAATATTTGGAGGATTTAAGGAACATCTCAGTTTAAATCCATTTCAAACTTTTTAAGTTTTTTTGTACTGTGTTTGGTTTTATTTTTCTTCTGCTAATCTTTTATATTCACTTACGCTCTCGTACATTGAGTACTTTTATTCCAAAACTAGTGGGTTTTCTCTACCGGAAATTTTAAATAAACCTGTCATTATTGCTTACTTTGATTAAAAATTTGTTGTTTCCTTTCTTCACGCACAAGATTTTAAAATTAATAAAGTTCACCACTCTCTTGAGAGATTTTTCTCAAATATTCTTTGCCAAACATAACAAACTAGATGACTGAAAACCTAAATTGCAGAGACAGGGAGACTGAATCATGAAAAGAGCAGAGTCACTTTAAATCAGAAAAGAAAAGACATATGGAACTTTAAAAATTAAGAAAAAGCTAACTCGCACAACCTGGAATTCCAGATCTAAACATACCTTCTCGTGTGAGCAGTGTCTGTAGCGGCCATTATTGGTGAATGCCTCGCAGTCCACCAAAAGTCCCAGTTTCTAAACTTCAGATGAGGATGCAAGGATGAATGTGAAAGGACGTAACATTGTGGGAAGAAGGAGAACTAAAACTGCAGCGAGACAGGATGATCGCTTCTGCCATCTACTTGTGACTGGGATGAGCCCATCCTCTCTCTCAGCCCCACCTCACCCCCAAAATGGAGTTTGCCCACGGAGGACACAGATTTGGGGAGACTCAGATTCTTCCCTGGCCAAATAGATGCCTCTGTTTCTCCCGTACGTTTTTGTACCTCTTTCCCAGAGGTATTTATCAGCCCCTTCTATTCCCCAAACTATGACCAAGCAGAAATTTCTGCTGCATCTTGCTGTCTCCAAAGGCATCATGGTGTTAAGTGTAGAAAGCCCTGAATGGAAGACCTCTGTTATAACACACATTCATGCTTTGCTAGGGCATTTCGCTTCTGTGAACCTCTGTGTCCTCATCTGTAAAATGGAGATAATGTCGTCGTGTCCTCATCACAGGTTGAGGGGAGGATCTGTTGGAAGAAAAATGTGTTTGAATATACCTGGCAAACATAACTGCCATGCAAGTATGGGCTCACTCTTTGCTTTGACCCCCCCGTACTCTGTTTTCTCACTTACCTGCTATCATTCCTGGCACAGGTGATCTGGATACACAGTGGTGACTGGTGAGCTGTAATATAAGGAGATTAATAAAACTATCAGGCTTCAGCAATGAAGTATAACTGGAAATTGTCTAAGAATAAAGAACTCAGGTCAGGATTTCTCACCTTGTTCCTAGTGGACAGCTATTTTTTGCTTTCCCGAGTTCCTGGGGCTGCCTGCTAGGACAGTTATGCAAGGGGTTAAGTGGTGTAGCTATGCTGGCAGCCAGCTTGGAGATCTACCAGGTGAAACCCCCAGATTGTCCAGGAGATTGAAATGTACTGGGTCCACGACCCTAGGAGTTGGCAGTGTGGCCCTCATACAACTGCAATTATTTGTATTTTTGGTGAAATCCTAGGACTGTTGTCATCAGCCATAGGAGGCTTTAAGTCTCCAGGAAGTTTTTAATTAAAGGAATGAAAAAGTCAAAGCAACCATTTGTTTGGATTACTAGAAAAAACTTAAGCTAGTTCAAACAAACAAGGCAATGTGAACTGTTTTATAGTAGACATGTTTTCTGCCCTAAGAGAGCACTAGGTGGGATGATTAGAAGTGGAGGGCCCTGCAGCCACTGCTTCACTTCACTACTTCATAGAATTAGACCTCCAGCAAGTTTCTGAACTTTTCTGCACCTATTTCCTCATCTGTCAAAACAGGCAGTGGGACTTCCCTGGTGGCTCAGTGGTTAAGAATCCGCCTGCTAATGCAGGGAACATGGGTTCGAGCCCTGGGCCAGGAAGATCCCACACGCCGTGGAGCAACTAAGCCCGTGCACCACAGCTACTGAGCCTGCGCTCTAGAGCCCGCTAGCCACAACTACTGAGCCCACGTGCCACAACTACTGAAGCCCGTGCGCCTAGAGCCCATGCTCTGCAACAAGAGAAGCCACCGCAATGAGAAGCCCGCGCACCGCAACGAAGAGTAGCCCCCGCTCGCTGCAACTAGAGAAAGCCCGCGCACAGCAATGAAGACCCAACACAGCCAAAAATAAATAAATGAATGAATAAAAATTTTAAAAAAATGTAAAATAAAATAAGGCAAAATGAAAAGCATAGAGGAGAACAGAGGAAAGAAAAATGTTCGGACTCGGCTGAGTGGAGATCAATGAAGGTTTTAGAGAGAAAGTGGTGTTTAAGGTTGAACCTCGAAAGATGGAAGCATTTTGAAACTTTGAGGCAAGAGAACAGTCAGAGTAGAAGTGTGTGTGACAGTCACCCAGCATCGGCCCACCAATTTCCAAAGACCCGTCTCCAACCCACAGGGTTACTGTGGGATTTACCATACAGTATAATGTGATGTCCCTTCTGGCTACTGTCACGTGGTCCAGGCAGGGGCCTGTTCTGGGACTGGAAATAGGGAAGCGGGTTTTTCTGTGCCTGGCTGAAGCTATGGTAAACCTTGGGAATTGTTTCCTGCCATCTCTTCTGCTACCTGTGCTGGAGACAAAAAGTGAGAGAGAGAGGGTTCTCAGGGAATCCTGGTTCCTGGGTCTAGGATTTCCCAAGTGCTGCCATGTTCCTGTTCTTGGCTATCCTGGGACACACCAGAATCTTTAGGGAGAATCCCCTCTTCTGCTTCATGTAGTTTGATTTGCGTTTTTGTTACCTGCAAGCAAATGTGACTTAAGCAATACAAGTAAGGACACATTTGACTTTTTAAAGAGAGATCATTTTTATAGGTAATTTTAACCAAAGCAGTTCTTGTTCATGCAAGATTTTAAAAGTCCAAGACAGACAAAAAGAAGAAACAAAGTCACCTGTACTAACCCTTGATAAGTAAGGTTATCCTTGAACTAGGTGATTATGATAACCTGGCAGAGAGATACTCAGCAGGCTATAGGAAATTCAGGTCTACAGGTTGGTCTTATTAGAGAGATGATGATTGGCTCCATTTGTTAAGCAGTTACTGGCACCAGTCCTGTGCCAGCCACCGTGCAGGATGATAAAAGTAAACAAATCCTCGGCCCTGCCTCAAGGAACCTGCACCCTATTGATAGAGGCAGACAAGTGAATAGGCAATGACAGTGCTGTGACAGCGAGGGGCCAGAAGGGGATATAAACGGGACCAGAAGTGTAAGGGAAGACTTATAACAGGAGATGGTGCCTGCAGGCTCAGTCTTAGTGTGCTGGCTAGGAATGATATGGGCATGGGATGCGTGGGGAAGGATGTGAGCCAGGCAGGAGGGGCAGAGGGTGGGAGAGCCTGGCACCTTTGGGGGCAAAACTGCAGTGTAGCTGGAGTGTAGGGCAATTTGCAATGGTAAAGGAAGGAATGGAGGGGAAAGAAGGGGCCAGGTCATTAAAGATCTTGTATATGTAATACTAAAAAGGGACTAGGGACTAGGGAAGTCTAGGGACTTCCCCCCTAGAATTTTAGCTCCTAGACATCTCAACCTAGAAGTGGTTATGACAGTCCAGAGTCCAGGAGAGAATCTACGGTGAGGCATACACACAAGGAGCAGAGAGGAGCTAACGACATAAAAAAGAATCGTAGAAACCAAGGAGAGCGTGTCAATAAGGAGGATTTAAAGAACGACATGAAGAGAACAGATGCAGAAAGGTGAGAACTTAGAAAAGGTTTACGCTTGGTACTTAGGAAGTCCCTGGCGACCTTAGAAGTTTTGGGGGGGTGCATAAAGCCAACAGATAAGGGTTAGAGTGTCTGGACTAAAAAAGTGGAGGCAAAGAGCATTGAATCTAGAAAAGTTGAGTGGTGCGGAGAAGACAAGGAAGTGAATATGGTGGCTGGAGAGAGGACGATATGAGGAAGGCTGTGTTAGAACAGAGCTATCGCACGCCTGTGAGATGATGTGTGCCTCTTCGGTGAGGTCATCCACCACAAGAGGCTAAGGCTGGGCTGAGGAAGAGTGGAAAGGCCACGGCAGGTGCTGAAGAGAGGACTCAATCAGCAATAAGCTCGAGCCCTGGGAGAGCATCATTGGCAAAGCCGAGGTGGGGGACATGGCCTGGAAGTCGATCCCATCTTCATGGTTCCATAAAGGCTCTGGAATCGGGAATCGGGGGCAGGATTAGAGAAAAAGACTGTGGTAAAATTCCCAGAGTAGATTATTGACAAGGCAGTCCTGGGGAAACTCAAGGGGACTAATGACCATCAATGGAACGGTGGCCTAGGTGGTCCAGGCTAAGAAGCAAATGAGGAACGAGAAACCAAGCAGGAGTCGCTGGGAAACTGGGATGAGAACAGAGAGCATGTTTGGTGTGAATGACCACAGCCTGCTCTCCTTCCGTCACTCAGAGAAATTTGAAAATGCTGCATCTCAGACAATAAATCCTGAACCAAGGCCCTTCATAAAGGGTGCTTTGTGGGGTAGAGTTGTGAAAGTGGTTGGAGGAAAGAAAAGCAAGGAACCAAGAAGTAGGCTGAGAGGAGTTAAGTGTGTCATAAGGAAGAACAACTCTGACTCCATATTGGATCTGTTTCTTTGACTTTGTATTCTGTTGCTGTTGCTAGGAGTTAAGAATGTTGCCTAGAGCCTGAAATATACAGGATAGCTCATCCTCAAGGCTCTGACCTTTAAAGGGTTAACACTTTTCTATTCACATAGAAAAAGTTGCAGAGCAGAGAATAATGTTTGTCTTGCTGCAGGTTTATAGGAACATCATGACCTGACCTACATGGACAGCTGCAAGAACAAAGGATTCCGGCACCAAGAAGTTTGTAACAACCAGCCACAGCCCCTCCCCTTTGATAAACTTGGGGAAGATGGTTCTTTGGGACACTAGTCCACCATCTTCTTGGTCTGCTGGCTTTCCGACTAAAGTCACTATTCCTTGCTACACCTCGTCTCTTGATTTACTGGCCTGTCGTGGGGTGAGCAGTTAAGAGCTTGGACTAGGTAACAAGTGTTTTTGCCCATCATTGTGTCACCAGATAGTGCTTAACCCGTGATAGGTACTCCGTAAAAAAATGAATGAATGAATGATAGGGTCTAACAGCACGGATACTGAGGTCATTTAGGGTGATGGAGGAGACAGTGTAGGGGCTTACAGTGGAATTAGGGCAAGGGACCAGAAGAACTACTGTAGTGA